TGACGATACCCCAGTTGTGATAGAATCAAAGCTCTGCACGTCACCTGGTCGAAGAGCCGCTTCCAACGATGACTCCGTTTTCCAAAATCCGTCCATATCTGCCAGCTCGCGCTCGAGCAACGCCTTATCACTGTTGATGGTCAGTTCGTCAAATTCAATATCGTCCACATTCATGTCAGACGGACGGATTTTTGGACTGCCGTGAGTCAAGCTATGCTTTCTCATTTGGTGCAATGCTGGTAACAAATCCGAGCATTTGCGAGTAAATCGCTTTCTTGATTCCGATTCATCCGTTAGGCTCATGACAGATGCACGCGTTTCATCCATCCACGGATGCGCTAGGATACCGGATGCAGTGAGACGCTTTGTACGGTCTACAGCCAGGAGTTCCGTCACCAAATCCTTTGCTTCATCTGAAACGTCATCCCAATATGGAGCTTCAAACTTGTACTCAGCCTTGACAACTTTATCAAGTACTGTCGCATGATTCGCTCCAGGAAACGGCGGGTACCCACACAAAAGGATAAACAGAATTACTCCAAGACTCCAACAATCTACTTCTGCTCCATATGGCTCGCCCTGTACCACTTCAGGTGCCACATAGCCCGGGGTACCACAAGCCGTGCCGCGACGAGATCCATTCATAGGTCGAGCAAAGCCAAAGTCAGCAATCATGACTTCAGCAATGCGACTGTCTAGAAGGCACTTAAGAAATTGTATCGATAGATGGCGCCGCTGCTTAATCGACATACGAGAAGACGATTTAAGTAAAACATTTTTCTTGAAAGCTGAATTCAATTTGGTCTCGCAAGTTGGGCGCAAACTACAGTAGAGCCTGTCTATAAATAAACCAGTTTAATTTAAAACCCTCTCTAAATTGAACAAAAGATATGGACCCATGTTGGGCACCATACTTTAATTAAAATATCTTTAAAATTTAAAAATTTGAATTTGATAACTCAGTCCCGACAGTTTTCTTAACTAAATCTCTCTATGTAGCGTACGTAGAAACAAAAAGTCTGACGTATTCTGACTTAGAAAGAGAGTACTAAATACGAGTAAAGAATTCAACGATGGACCTTTGCTTCAGCTGACGTGTCTTGATCAGACCAACCTTGTCCTTCATACTGCGTATAACGGTGATAAAGCCCAGACTTTGTTCATCCTGCTGCAGCCAAAAATTTTCCATTGAGTCGAGCATCTTGACAGCCTCAGAAGGTGTTGCCTTGACTGGTTCAGTACTGTCATCATCATCTGCACCCTCAGCATCTTCTACAGCAGCTTCTCAATGCAGGTAAGCTTCAATT